GGGCTGGATTCGAACCCGCTACCTTAGGTGTATGTGGCTGATGCCTTAGCCCCTTGAGCCATAGGCACCGAGCCTTCTTCAATATTCTTACTGTTCTAGGCTAGAGTTAAATGTGCAGTGTTCTGTTCATGTACTTATTCTAGTGTTATGAATGCAGACGAATGAGTTTATGTATTCTCATAAATTGTAAATAATTTGAATATATATGTACAGCCCATCTTTTTTATAATTTATTTATAACAGTACTGGTTCCTATATCTAAATATAACTATAGCTATTTCATCTATTTGAAATTTGTCAAAATTCAAGGTGCAAATTAAAAAAAAATTCCTAAAACAAAGTTCCAAGAGCCTCCCCACTAAATCTCAGGCACATTCATTTCCGACTTTTACTCTACACGCCATTGTAACCTTGCGGTGTGATTCCCGGTGGAGGCTGATGAGAAAGACTACCCTGAAAAGGGCGGGCACCACTGACCCTAGGATGGTGAGGACAATCCCGAGGAAAAGATCAAGACTTTGTGAGCTAAGTGGCAGGTGTCGCGCAACGTGGGTCAGCGCATCTGAACAGCACGGGAAGACACAATAGTTTGGTAACTGACGGTCAAGCCATGAGTCTTCCCTCTGAGGCCCAGCTCGGTGGAGCAGGGACAAGCCATTCCTAATGTGCCCTGTCCAATGCCTGACCCACAGGTTTGGCAAGCCCAGTAGAACAGTGTGTTCTATGCCATGGAGTCTGGGGTGGCTGGGTCAGCATCAGCAGTGACTGGACAGACGCCGGCCGTTTTCAGGTGTACTGCCCAGTGGCAAGCACTCGCATTTACATCTTATTTATGCATTACAGCCATCCCACCAGGGCTGCCCTGTTATCACTTCACAAGCAAGAAAACGGGTTCACGAGGACAGGGCACTTGAACCAGGACTTGAACCCAGGAACATCCTGGCCCCCTAGCTTGGCTGTGCTCAGGTGGTCCAGGGTAGCTTCTGCAGTGCGTCTCCCTGCCTTTGGAGGCTCTGTCCCGCCCCGCTCACTCCCTTCTCCCGGGCTCTTCCACTCCGGGACTAATCTGGGGGGAGGGAGACTGCAGGCCTCCCACCACGCGAGCGTCCTGTGGCCACTACCTGGTTTGCCCTTCTCCTAGTTTCCGCCTGCGACGGGGACTGTTATGGGCACAGCTCGTGGGTCTGGCAGAAACTTCCTTGGAGTGGACCCGCAGTCGGAGACGTCCCTCCCTGGCTCCTGCTCTCCCTATCTCGTTACAGGGGCCAGTCCTGCTCCTTGCTCCTCCTGTTCCCTCCCTTTTCCTGCACACGCTTTCCCTCCAACCAGCCTCCAGCTCTGCTAAACCCGGGGTGCGGTTTCTTGGAGGACGCGAGGTGGGTCACATCCCTGGGGCAGCTCGCGCACCCCTTCTTGCCCGCCCCTCCTCGCCACCTCCCTGCCTCGCTGGGTTCCGCCCCGCTGCGCCCCGTCACCGCCCCCGCCCAGCCCCACCCTGCCTCGCCCAGCCACGCCCTGCCTCGCTCAGCCCTTTCCGGCCTGGTCCCGCCGCGTCCCCGTCACCCCGGGTCCTCGTTACCTTGTTCACGCCGTCGGCCATCGCCTGCAGTGTGAGCTCCCGGGGCCCGTCCACCGTCTTGCCGTTGTCAGTGGGGCCCCAGCTGGCGCTGTAGATGTCGATCAGCTGCGGCATGTGGCTGATGGAGGAGGCCTCGATGATGTCCGTCATGAAGGGCTGGTCCAGCATCCGGATGCCTGGGGAGCAGAGAACACCGGCCTTGGGTGCCCCGGTTCACAGGACACGCCGGGTGGAGGAGGGCTCAGGTCCTGCGTGTGCTAGGCTGGGGTGGTGACCCTGGGTGCCCTCGGGGACCCTGAAGGGTCAAGGGATCAAGAAGGAGGCCCAGACCATCCCTTTCGCTCGTTTTTGAATCTCCTTTTCCTCACGCCTTTCCTTATGTAACTATTTGAAGAAACATTTATGCTTCTAGCAAACCTTGCTAGGATGAATTCCTAATGGGGAGAGACCACCTTTGTTGAAAAGATTCTTTGATGAGCCCGTTTCTAAGGGGAAGCTCAGCCTCAAGGAAGTGAGTGTTGACTGGAACCAGGTTTCAGGGGAGAAATAAAGCTACTGTGCGTGACGGGGGCGGGGGGGGGATTGATATTTGGTATTTAAGGAGAAATTAGGGCAGGGGGCAGAAGGAGGCATAGAGGCAGTGGTGAGGCCAGGAAAGGAATCCCTGGTTGCACTGTAGCTGAGAAGGGACTTTGAAGAGGGAGGCAATGATGAGTGGGTTATAATCAAAACTATGTTATTAACAGGGCCTGTGATACAGCCCCCTCCTCCTGTTATCCCCCCATGACATCTTTGTAAAGTTTCTGTTGCCCTCTGATACCTTGTAGAGTGACTCTGGCTGGAATTTGAAAAGGAGCAGAGTCCCTCAGTCCAGGATTGTGTGTGTAATCAGTTTTGGGACACAGGGACACAGGCAGAAGGGGTGTGGGTGGCTTCTCTCCCAGCTGCCTGTGCGGAGGAGGCTGAGGATCCCATGGCTCACATCCCCTTCTGGCCAGCACAAAGGGACAGCCATGGCCAACGGGATGGGTTTTTCTACTCTTCATCACTACCCTCAAAACTCGGCTGGTTGGAGACACTGCTGTCTGTGGGGCTGTGTCATCCGGGATGAGTCAGCGGTGCGAGCCTCTGTGGTGCGCACCTGAGGGTGTTAGTGAAGCTGACCTAATTCTTTCCTCCACTAAGATCACCAAATGAAGGGTCTGGGATGGGCCGGGTCAAAACCTGGATCCCGACAATCCTTCCTCATCTGTCCCCTACCCCCCCCAAAGGACATTATTACTCAAGGACATTTATTTCACATGCATCACTCTAATGTGGTATGCAAATCAACTTAATTGAGAGCCATCAGGGCAAGAAATTGACATGAAATAGCTTATTTGCTTAAGGGTCAACTATTGTGAGACCTCAGGAGACTCCAGGGTCTCTCTTTCCTCCTCGGTGACTAACGGGGCACCCCCTGTGCTTGCTTTGCAATTTCCCCAGACTGCACTTTTAACCTCACAACTGCTTGTTTGAATGTTTCCTACATCATCAGGTGGCAAGTTCTCTGAGTTCAGGGAAGGTGTCTATTTTGTTCACTTCTGTGTCCCTGAGGATCAGCGTGATGCTTATTTATCTTAAGTTTGACCAATATTTGGTGAATAAATGTCCAGTGATATTATATTATTTAGTTGCTTTTCTTCCCAATAGAAATAACAGGTCCAGAAGAACAAATAATTACAGGTCCGGACTGTCCCTCTTCTACTATTAACCCATAAAGCAGGTCACCATTTTTGCCAACAAGCATCCAGTTATCAGTTAACATCCTTTCTCCTGGAAGAAGCTTATCCTGAATAAGCTTACTCTTTGGTTTGAACTTTCCAGAAGCTAAGTTCTGTAGTTCATTTTATAAGATACGAAATCTAAAACTTTTGCTTTTGGTCTACCTATATTTTACTAAAGAGATTTATTCAACAAAGGTAGTCAAAAGGCTGCAGAGTGAACTGAGAAATGCATTTTCTTCTTGTGTGAAGTCATGCCCTCTCTAGGGGTGGAAGATAAACACAGAGGCTGACATTCATTTGTCTGGATAGAGAAAGCTCAGATGCCCTTGAACTTGACTGGTGCCCAGATGACCAGAACTGAATATAGTTCACCTCAACCAGAAGGCAAGAAAAATTCAACCCTGGGCAGAGTAGGCCTTGACTGCCCCATAAGCCAACCAGTGGCAGCTGTGGCTTTTGTCAGGGTGAGGGCACGGTGTCCCCAGCTGTGCCTTGAACCCTCTTTCTCCTTGTGGCTTTTGTCTTTCTGCCACTCTCCCTCTTCATTCCTCTCATGAGCTCCCTTTGTGCTGCAGGAGAACATCAGAGCTGCCTGTGTATTAATCTTCTGACTGTTGTAGCATTAAGGGAGATGGGGGCAGCTGCAGTCTGGGAGCAAGGCTGTCATTCATATTCAGGGGCCAGGCGCCGACATTCTTTTAATCTCATTAAGCTTAGGAGGAATGAGGCATACATTAATTGAATGAGATACAGTATTAATTTTGCAAGTCACTGCACCATTAGCAGCCAAGACAGGCTCAGGGTGACCCACAGGTTTTTAGGGAGGGCCTCTCCTCTGCCCCTGGAAGCTCAGGGATGGATAAGAGAGGGGCTGAGGGGAGGCGGAGAAAGAGAGGAAGAAAGGAAGAGAGGAAGAGAGAAATAGAGATAGAGATACTGGTCCCAGGAACTTGGAATCAGTGTTTTCACATCTATAAAAATGCTCTACTGGCTGATGTGATTCAGTGGGCGAGGACAGACACAGAGGACACATCAGGCACCTCTGTCCTACCTTCCAGGCAGGCCTGCACCCCACATCAATGATCAGATGATCAGACTGTGTGCCCCTTTGCCATTCATTTAGAGTCCTCACCTGCCTACCTGCACTCTGGCTGGCCCTGGTACCCTGGAGGCTGGCTGCATGGCCCAGTATACTTGAGCTAAATCCTTTCTGCCTCTGCAAAAGCTGTACTTATACTTGCCCCTGATAAATGCTACATCTGCCCACAAACCTCAGTGCCCATAATAGCCACCTTTTGTGTTTGTGAAAATTAGCCCTGGAGGCTGAGGAGCAAGTTCATGCTCATCCAGGTTTCAGGATCTGAAACTCACGTTAGTCATTGTGCTCATGAGGATTTTTACTGGCTTATTGAAAAATTCAGATAAAATACATATAAACCCACTGCACTGTCATGAGATTTACTGGCCAGTAACAATAATGATAACACAGGAGAGCAATTCATAGCTGGTGGAGGAATTTTAGGATATTTTGACTATGGTCAACCGTACGGTTTTTAAAATCTTTTCAAAATCTTCTCTTAAAGGTGATCTCATTCTGAAGCTTTAAAAGGTAAGGTAGCCTGGCTCCACCTTGGGGTTACTTTGAGAGTCTCTGGGGAATCCCAGAGTTGTGTGGAGCTGTTAGAGTCCCAGACTTGAGTCTTTGCTTATTCCTGAACATTGGGAGGTGGTGGTGGTGGTGGGGGTGGGGGGAGCAAAGCTGAAGGATGAAGAGGAAGTGGCCAGGGAGAAGAGCATGTACGAAGGTCCCATAGGAGGAATGAGGTTATACTTTGTAATTTATGTTTGCTAGGAGGTCTTATCTAAATTATATTTACTCAGAGATCGAACCATTTATTAAAAATAATGAAGGTAGTCCCAGAAATCAAAGGGACAGGATGGGCTGTTGGCAACGCTGGTTTACCTTTCAGAGAAATACAAAACTGGATCCTTGGCCAATATGACAGGCAAAGAGGGAATCCAGGTGAACTAGTAGTCTAACGTGAAAGTGAAGGAGACCATATTTGCACTGATTAAAACAGATCTGGGGCTAATTTTTAGGACATACCAGGATGCCTACAAACCAAGACAAAAAGCTCTTGATGGAAGAATGAGCAAAGTTTATGAACAGAAGCTCTCAGCAGGCAGCATGCAGATAAAGAGATGCTCAGTACTCCCCCACCCCCCGCGCTTTTTACCTTCAGTTTCTAATCTCATCTACTCTGTTCTTTCTATCTCTGGATAAGATTCAACAGCATTTTCGGGCTGGAATACCTGGCCCCTCCCTCGACTTCCAGAGACTAGCAGTGAACTTCGTTGGTCAGCAGGTGGCGCTTTCGACCTCTGTAGCTCAGAAAGCTTCTAAAATACTCTTGAAGGGTTTGGCTCATTTTTAGCTTATAATTAAAAACCAGCCAACTTTTGGAATTGCCATCCAGGATGAATAAAATGTTCCCGCTACGTCTGTAAGGTCAAGGGGCCTGGAACTCTGCTTTTGTTTGCAATTCATGAGTAACTCTCTAATACTTCCCCTGGGCAGAATTCATTCTGACTCCCCAGGGAGCCAGGACACTGGGTGCCCTAAAGGGCACAGGAATAGGAGTAGAGCCTTCCAGCCCTTGAACAGTTAGAAGTAGCGTGAGCTGTCACAAAGGAACAAAGCCGGGGCTAAGGGAGTGGGAAAAGGGAGAGAGGGGGCGGCCTTGCTCAAAACCTTTGTATGGTCAGGCATGCCTCCCTCCGCTCTGTTTTTCATTCCCGGAACCTCAAAGTGTTGCTGTGACCCCAGAGCTATCCCGGGGTTTCACAGAAGCACTGTCGGGTCTTTGAGGTACCAGACTGCCTTCAGCAGGTGTGGCAGAGGTTGTGGCACCCTGCTGGGATCCTCTGGTCTGGTCCCTGTCTTTTTGCCTGGAGGTGTTCTCTGCCCTGGGAGCTCTGCTCAACCCGAGCAAGCCAGGCAGGTGGGGTAGGCTGGGTGACTGTGGCCCCAGAGCTTCCCGGAGCCAGCAAACGATGGGAGCTGTTGGGTTAACTCTCCAGCCTCCTTGCCTTGCGGGGACAGTTCTAAGTGGTGTTCAGCACACTCCCCCAGAGGGGCACCTGCAGGAGGAGCCCCTGCTGGCCGTGAGACTAACCAGCTCACCGCCCACCCTCGGTGGACCGCCCTCCCTTCTTTGTCTTCCTTCCGTTCCCTCGTCCGGCTTCCCGGGACCACCGTCCGCACAAACTGCTTACACCCAAACCCTTGTCTCAGGTTTCTCTTTCAGGAAACGCAGACTAAGGGAGAGCAAGAGAATCAGGTACATTTGATGAACGGCTCAGACGTTTTCAGAATGCAAATAATAAGGAAGGCTTCAGAACAGAGACAAGAAATAGGAGGGGGAAAAAAGCCCCCAGGAACCCCCAGAAAGCGACCAGTTGTTCCTGACTCTTGTGACTTTTGCAGGCAGTTCTTTGTTCAAAAAACTGGTTACCTTTAGGTAACTCAGGGTTGAATATTTAGTTGCCTCCAGTTCAGCTCTGTGAGTAAAGAACCCGCCTCATCTCAGCTATCACCCAGGTATGAGCCTGGCTTATAAAATATTAACCGACTGATATTCTTTCCTGGGTGCTCATAATGGCTCCTGACATTTTAATGCCAGCATTTTGGATGCACAAAGTAAAGAGAGCTGAAACCCTAGGGGCAAAGCCTCCTCTATTTACATTTCAGGAACCTCCAGATATATCCTTTTGTGAAATTCAGCACCCTGTTCATCAAACCTCTTAGCAAACAGAGGTTAACAGTGGGTTTGTGCAGGTTACTTATGCTTTATTTAGTTCCCTGGAAATGCAAGTGTCAGCAGAAAGTAGGTTTACAGTTCCATTAAATTGCCAGGAAAAAAAAAATCAAGACAGTTGTTGTTTTTCTTTTTTAAAAAAACAGTAAGAAAGACAAGATTGGGTGACTCAGCTGAATAAATTAAGAAACAACTGATGCAAAACTTGGAACAGGACAGGAGCCACTCTGTTCTCTGGCATCTTGTTGGAAGTTCACGAATCTCTCTGTCTCTATCTCTCTAGTCTTTTTTTTTTTTTTGAGACAGAGCCTCAAGCTGTCCCCCTGGGTAGAGTGCCGTGGCTTTACAGCTCACAGCAACCTCCAACTCCTGGGCTCAAGCGAGTCTCCTGCCTCAGCCTCCCAAGTAGCTGGGACCACAGGCGCCCGCCACAACGCCCGGCTATTTTTTGGTTGCAGCCGTCATTGTTGTTTTGGCGGGTCGGGGCTGGGGATTCGAACCCGCCACCTTAGGTGTACATGGCTGGTGCCTCAGCCGGTTGAGCTATAGGCGCCGAGCCTCTCTAGTGTTTTTTTTGGTGGTGGAAATGTTGGTTTCTAAATTTTCAGTGACTTGCCACTCTCATTTCTAAGTGGGAAATTGTTAAGTATCCTAGCCAATGAAACATAATACAAAGATTCTAGGTGGAATAAATCTTTAAAAGATGAGCAATCCATTGTGCAAAATATTTGGAAGAGTTCTGAGTATATTTGCAAATAATTTGTGCTCACCTTAAAATCTGCAGTCTGTGGTTGAATCTTTTTCTTTTCTTTTCTTTTTTTTTTTTTTACATCATAGCTGTGTACATTAATACTATCACAAGGTACAGTGTGCTATTTCTATATACAATTTGAAATACTTTCATCCAACTGGTTAACATAGCCTTCATGTCATTTTCTTAGTTATTGTGTTAAGACATTTATATTCTACATTTAGAGAGATTCACATGTACCCTGTGGTTGAGTCTTATTAAAATATTATTGGCATTGACACAAGAGTGGTGACTAAACAATTCTGTTTATATAAAGTTCAAAAATTAGCAATAACTGATTTTTGCTGTTAGAAAGCCAGACTGTGGCTATTCTTTTTTTTTTTTTTTTTGGTTGTAGTTGTTGTTTAGCAGGCCCAGGCTGGATATGAACCTGCCGACTGTGGCTATTCTTATGTTTGGACAGTAACTAGGAGGGAACATGAGAAGGGCTTTGGGGTGCTGGTCATGTTTTATTCCCTGATTGGGACCTGGGTGTGCCTGCTTTGTGAAAATCCACTGAGCTGTGTGTTTAAGATCTGTGCACTTTTCTGTATTTATATTATGCTTAAATTAAAAAGTTAAAAATATATTAATATTGCCATGCAAGTTAAAATAATTTTTAAAAAAATTTGTGCTAAATCTATAGGTCCTAGCTCTCCTTTCCTAACGGATTTTTTTTTCTGGCCCCTGGCTGGGCTGGGAGGCCACAGTGTGAAACCTTCTGGGGTGGCCGTTTGGCAGGGACAGCTTACCTGCAACCTTGGAGTTGTATGCCACTCCGACTCCACAGATATTGTTGTTGGCTGCAGCAGAGACTTCTCCTGCACATCGGGTCCCATGGCTTTGGAAAAGAATTAAATATAGATGCATTAGGTACAGCGTGGAAAGGATTTGGAAGAAGATATTTCAATTCTACGAATTGGAAACAATTTGATTCTTTTCAATGGTTGAGCTAGAGTTGAGCCGGTTCGCACCCCAGCCAGTTTTCTATCTGTGTCTCCCTCTCCTTCCTTTCTCCTGGCCCTTCCCAGTTGCCTTCTTGACCTTGGGTTGTTTCTGTCATAAAGAGGCTTCTCAGAACATTTTCAGCTTTAATGTTTGATCTTTAATTTAAAATTTGAAGTATCTTCTTGCAAAAAACAGAGAGCGTTTTCTTGTAAATATTTAACATGGTAATAAAACAGGCTTGTGCTTATTGGAACAGCTCTGATTGTTTTGAGTCGCTAGTATTGTGGGCTGCTGTTTATTTTCAGGTCTGCTTCTGCACACAGTAAGGCTGCCTGCCAGGCATGGGGTGTGACTGTTTACCTGCAGTGGCTCATGGCCTCCTCTGATCCTCACCTCCATCCAGGAATGAAAAAGTACACAGTGCTAACACTTTGCATTTAATTTCAAGGGGTCCACAGAACCTTTGAGGCTGGTCAAATTAAGAATCCCAGGCATTAGCTGATCTTTCCAAGGCTCACCTGGCCTCATAATTTTGAGTAAAGCCCTTCCCTGAGGAGAGAACGACCTCTGGTCTAGAATGTTCTCTGCAATAAACACCGTAATTCCATTCATTTTCTCCTTTTTGCTTGTTCTATCCTCCCTTATACAAAAGGGTTCCTGACAGTTTCTCCACATGCATTGTATTTCCCTTCCCCTTCACTGGGGTGGCCTGCTTTGACCCAGAATATGCAGCAGAAGGATGAGATGCCATTTCTCAAGACACTTGTCAGTTTTCACTTCCATCCTCTGGTGCCAGATGCCACGTAGAGAAATATGGGCTAGCCTAGGAATGGACGAGGAAGGTGGACTGGCCTGGGAATGGATGGGTCTGTGTGGAGAGAGAGCAGCCCAGCAACCCCCGTGGTTCCAGTCACCTGAGATGAGGGCCCTGATGTGTGAAGGAGGCCACTTTCATCCTCCGGACCCAGACACGTTCCGGGATTGTAAGCAAAGAAGTTTTTGTTCTTTTGTAAGCTGCTATGTTCAGCAGCAGAGAACTGAAACAAGCATAAACTCTGACTCAATTAGTATGCTGTGCTCTATCTCCAAACAACATTCAAGATGTGGAAGATTCCAATAGTACAAGTCACCTGAAATGATCAGCCTCACATCTGAAAATTCTTTTCAGTGGTCTGTGCAGCTAATAAATTGAACAGGTCATGCTGCCAGGTCTGGGGGGACAGTGTGAGTGTGGCCTGCTGAGACACAGGGCAGGGAGCACTGGTCTTTCCCCCCATTACTTAGGCTGTGGTGCACCAGTGGGAAATGTGGGTGGGGGGCTCTTTGGCTGTATTTCCCCAGGAATTTTCGATTTCTGCAGTGTTGACCAGCATACTGCCTGAGACATCCTCTTAGAGCAAGTAAAGCTATCGCACCAGCCCTTTAAAAAGGAATCACATCTAAGGATCAGAAAAATAAACACACACACACACACACACACACACACACACATTCTCTCTCTAATGAACAGAAGTAAATGCTGCCTCCATAAAAGCTACATATTTTATGGGCCCAGAATTCCCTTTGAAACAAGAATGAAATCTGTATGTCATGTCCAAATAAACCTGTGTCATGGCAAAGGTTGACCCTGGCATTTAAAGTTCTGTGAAAACTTGAGGTGCTGAACACACCATTGTCTACTTGTCTTTCAGTTTTCTGAAAAGCACATTTGAGATTTTTGAGGTGTTTAACTTGAACAAAGACAAGACACTGAATAATGCTTCTGTATCCTTAATTCTAGTCTATAAGTGGAGAAAATGAATGTCACGGGATCTCCAGAGGAACATAGGGGAAGAAACATTTCACTGCTAAATTAGGTGACACTAATTAACAATAAGCAACAAATCGAGGCTTCCTGCAATTGTTCATGACATCATGTCTCTTCACCATTCTGGGCCTTTGAATCTGAGCTTGTCTTGTGATTTGCTTTGGCTAAAGAATGCGGCAGAAATGATGAGTTTAGGCCTCAAGAGACCTTACAGGTTGTGCTTTTACTTTTGAAGCCCTTGACTGGGCGCCATGTGAACAAGCACAGGCTAACCTATTGGATGATGAAAGACATGTAAACTGTCATGCCTATCACTGAGCCAACAGCCCATCCATCCTGCAGCCGTGTGAGTGAGCCCATCCTAAGAAAGCTAGTCCCCAGCCAACTTTCCATTGAAACATGGCACTGGAGACCCCAGCTGTAGGAAGCCTAGCCTGTCCAGATCAGTAGAACCATCCAGCTGACCTACAGACTTGTGAGCAGTAAGTAATGCTTATGGCCATTTATCTCCCTCTTTGTTTCTGCAGGGGGACCACTGTACTAAGTATGCTGCTTGGAATGTCTCTGCATGTTCTTAAGTGATCACTTTACAATCAGATATGCACTGCATGTAATGCTGCTATTGACTTGTTTCCAAACTCTATATAAAAATTTCATAGAACTTAATTTGTTTAAAATTTGCTCTATTGGCTCAGATTTCTGGAATTTACTTGTGAATTCTGTTTCATCCATTTTTAGTCCTGTGTAGTCGTCTATTTGTGAATAAGCTTCAACTTAATTATTCATACTTCTAATGATAGGTATTTAGGTTGTTTACACTTATATAATTTAAAAAGAGACATCCTTATCTATTTTTTGAAATAATTTGAAAAGTGAAATCCTTATATATTTTTTCCTTGTGTGCATGTGGAAGAGTTTCACTAAGGTATTTACTTAGGAGAGAGAACTGGTCATATGAATACATTCTACCTGCAGTGCAGGAGAGTTCCTGTTGATTAACATTCTTGCCAACATTAACTTTATTGTTTTTGCTAGCCCAGTTGGTGTGAAATGGTATCATATTGTTTCGTTTTTCTCATTATTAGCAAGCCAATCTTTTCATACTTTGTTAATTCTTAACCTTGGTCCATTTTTTTCTATTGAGGTATTTAATTAGCAATTTATTATCTTTAAGTCAATCTCATAGACTCAAACATACTGACTTTACAAATTCTTCAAATGAAAAATCTTATATCCTGGCCCTAAAGTATCCTGTAATAGATTTTTATTTATTTATTTTTATTAAATCATAACTGTGTACGAGAAATGTAAATCAAAACCACTTTGAGATATCATCTAACTCCAGTAAGAGTAGTCCACATAACAAAATCCCAAAACTATAGATGTTGGCGTGGGTGTGGAGAGAAGGAAACTCTTCTGCACTGCTGGTGGGAATGCAAGCTAACGCGTTCCTTTTAGAAGGAAGTTTGGAGAACACTTAGGGAACTAAAAGTAGACCTGCCATTTGATCCTGCAATTCCTCTACTAAGTATATATCCACATGACCAAAAATCATCTTTCAACAAGGATATTTGCACCAGAATGTTTATTGCAGCCTAATTCATAATTGCCAAGTCATGGAAGCAGCCCAAGTGCCCATTGACCCATGAATGGGTTAACAAATTGTGGTATATGTATATCTTGTAATAGATTACAGCAAAAATAATTCAGAGGAAAAAAAGATTTCTGTGATAGAAAACTTAACACAAACCATTCCTATAAAGTTAACAATAAAAACTAGAGTGTAAAAAAAACCCTCTGTTTTCTTTTGATTAAAAAAGAAAAATCACCAACTTGTGTAAAATAATCCATCAAGCAGTAAAAAGCATAAATGAAGTCAAATAGGAATTTTTAAAATATATGACATCATAATGTGTATATTAAGTCTTTTATATCATTTAACTTTTAGACTACTTCAATATTAAATACCAACCTTTTCTCAGGAAGTTGTTGCAACTCCAAGAATGGTTTGGGCTGTATAGAAATCAATCATCCTTTTTTTTTCTTTCATTTTTTTTTTTTTTTAGTAAAGATGTTATTCCCTTAAATAACACTTACTTTAATATTACCATCTTAAATTTTGCTTTATTACCAGAAACAAAGAACTAGATCTTTCTATGTTCATTTTTATTTTATTTTTTTACACTGATTGCATTTATTAGGTAAAGTCCCTCTTACAATCCTATCTTGCCCCCAAAAGGTGTGGCACACACCAAGACCCCATCCCCTCCCTCTCTCTTCCCTTCCTTTCCCCACCATTTCCTCCTTCTTTCTCTCTCCGTTCTCCCCTTCCCCACTCCCACAATGTCATTAATTGTATTAATTGTCCTCATATCAAAATTGAGTATCTAGGATTCATGCGTCTCCATTCTTGTGATGCTTTACCAAGAATAATGTGTTCTACTTCCATCCAGGTTAATACAAAGGCTGTAAAGTCTCCATTTTTTTAAATGGCT